AGTTTGAAATGGATCAAGAGGAGGGGGAGACACTACACTCGACCTGGCATACTCTCATTTGAAGTATGATTATGTTACACGAAGAATAGTTTTAGAGTGATGCTAATCACATCATTACTAATGTTAAACATTAGAATATGGGATAACTATGTATCGTTAAATGATAAATTCATTTAAAAGTAAAGTCACATGACTCATTTAATTGATTATATAATATATTTATTTAGATTGAAGTTAGATAATATTAAGTATTAGGATTTGTTTAATAATATGTGGTTAAAAAATAAAGAAAATATTTGAATTTATGCGTAAAATTATTTTATTTTGAAAATATATGTCTGAAAATGAGCTTTTAAAGAATTGAACTCAAACATGGGTTTAATGTTGCTGATCCAACGAGGTAAGTTTTTAATTATTTGGAGGTTCGTACTATGTATATGCACATTGTATTGTTACATTTTACAAAAAAATAAATAAATAAATTTAGAGTGAGAGATTATGCAGGAATTCACGTGGTGGCCCCATTGGGAAGAAGATTATGTTAAGTATTCAAACCATGGCGGCCCCCTCCACTCTCGTCAGCACATTTTACCGTGTCTTACGCGCACCCCATTTCTATTTTTTTTTAGAGAGAGAAGAGACTTCATCCTAATTGAACCTTCTTACCACTGTGGTATTTTTTTTGGAAATTTTATCTTTGTTGTCTTTATCCAAATTGTTACGGACGCGATTATTTATAATAATAATAATAATAACAACAACAACAAAAATAACAATAAAAATAATTGTAGACATTGAATTCTAGAATTAAGAAAATTGAGTCAGTTTGATTATCAGCAATCCTACGAAAAAGTAGAACGGGAAATAGAGACCGCAAAAGATCTTAAAAGGACACCGGTGTGGTGCGACCGAAGATCCTCTGACGGTCGAGTCAGTAAAGCTTATCAAGGATTATACGAATGCTAGAACAAAAGAAAGAAGAAGTAACTTATAGTAGAGTAGTTTTTCTTGTCCACCTGAACATAAGACTGATCACGAAATTTATAGCAGTGGGATAACTGTCTAGGCAGAATCGACGAGGACTCTGCGAGATTTTCTGGTTGGTTGGAGATGAATCTGATAAGATCTATTTGGTTGAGATACCCAACTGTTTTCAGATAACTTCTACTTGATTTGGTCAAATCATAGTGTGATTTCACTTGAAGATAAATTATCAGGGGTTTCGAATTGACACGTGGGTCTTGGACCGTGCATTTGGTCGGATCAACATAACAAATTGAGCCAAAGATGGCTCGTTTTATCAAGTGGACCATGTGTTGACCTTTTTTTTAACTTGGGGCATTTGGGCTAGCGGAACAAATTTTTACCACTGCAATAATAATGAAAGAAAGAAAAATAGTTGACGTAACAAATATCGTGTTCAAGGAGTGTGTTGGGTTTTCCATCATTTTTGTTCGTAACGTATCAATGAAAAAAGAGCAACGAGAAAGTTTTTGAAATGCCTTCATCGATCAAGTAAGAAATTTAACGGTAAAATAAATGCTTGTATCTGTAAGTGTTATGCCCTAGGTCCAATCAACTTTGGACATAAACACTTTGAATATATATAATCAATGCATATATATGGCAATATCTATTATTTAATTGAATTAATATTCTAATAAATTAAATAATAGAATCCGTAGATTCAAGTCTTGGTGATTTGTTAATCACAAGGAGTTGT